GATTGCCTGAGCCTGTGGATTCGAGACCTGCCTGGGCAACTTGGCGAGACTTCATCTCTACAATAAATCAAAAAATCAGATGGGTGTGGTAGCACATGCCTATAATTCCGGCTACTTGGAAGGCTGAGGCGGAAGGATCACCGGAGCCCAGCAGATCAAGGGTGCGGTGGCTGGGAGCGGCTACTACACTCCAGTCTGGGCGACAGAGTGAGACTCGAACTCAAAAAAAAAAAAGACACCGAAGCTCTGTGTATGAGGAAGGATGCTTGATACAGTGGCTGCCACACAAGGAGGTTTCTTGGGCTGGAGGTCTGAGATAAAGTGGCAGTTTTGCATTTTCCAAAAGTTGTGCACCCTTGGGGAGAGACTGTAGCCTCTGATTTGAAATTAGAAGGGGCGGGGGCTGCGGCAGGCAGTTTCTGAGCCTGGTTGCCACCACTGGGAGGGCAGTGAGCGGCCCTGGTACTACCTGGGAAGAAGAAAAGCTGACAGAACTGCCCAGTACCCGTTCCCATATAGACGCTTCTGTCAGCCTGGGACACCAGCCCAGCCCCTCTCCCACAATGATCTACTTACAGGAGCTCATCAAGGAAGAATTTGCCTCATTAAGACATCAGTAACTAAAAAGGAACTGACACAGGAGCTAAAGAAAGATATTACAAGAACAGCAAATGGTGCATGAACATTTACCAAAAACTGTTGGCAGGGAACAGATAAAAACTGTGACATGTAGCTGTGAACACGTAAAGAAGAGGTTCCAAGCAGAGACAGAGAGAGATGGTGAGACAATGGGAGGAGGTGAAACACGGACTCGAACTACAGCAAGGAAAAACCAGCCATCATGGGAACAGGGCCCACCAGAGAAGGCACAAAGATGAAGTCCTGCGGAAAAAGTCCTCCAGTAAGGACAGGGAGAGTGGCTGAAGAGACTTGCAGCAGGAAGCCTTAAACAAAACATTTTTTAAATGAACAGCTAAGCTGGGGAAATAAAATGAGCCCCCAGGGGAGATCGTGGACTTGTGCCTAGCTTGTTTTAAAGTAGAGTAGAAATAAAAGCAAGTCTCTCCTGAAGATTCCTAACTTCTAAGACTGCATCTTGGGCATGGTGGCTCACATCTGTAATCCTAGCACTTTGGGAGGCAGAGGCGAGAGGAATGCCTGAGCCCACAGGTTTGAGACCAGCCCGGGCCACTCAGTAAGACCTCATTAAATGAAAAAATTAGCTGGGCATGGTGGTGTGTGCCTATAGTTCCAGCTACTTGGAAGGCTGAGGTGGAAGGATCACCTGAATCCAGCAGGTTGAGGCTGCGGTGGCTGTGAGTGTGCCACTGAACTCCATCCTGGGTGACACAGTGAGACTCCGACTCAAAAAAATAAAAGCAAAAACATATATTTTATTGTATTGTATTGTATTTTCTTTTTTTCTTTTGAGTTGGAGTCTCACTCTGTCACCCAGATTGGAGTGCAGTGGCCGTTCCTGGCCACTGCAGCCTCAACCTCCTGGGCTCTGGCGATCCTTCTGCCTCAGCCTCCCAAGTAGCTGGAACTACAGGCATGCGCTACCACACCCAGCTAATGTTTTAAAAAATTTATTGTAGAGATGAGGTCTCGCCAAGTTGCCCAGGTGGGTCTTGAACCCGCGGGCTCAGGCAATTCACTCACCTCAGCCTCCCAAGGTGCAGGATTAAAGGCTGAGCCACCGAGCCCGGTGTATTGTATTTTCTAAGTCAAAGTCTCACTCTGTTGCCCAGGCTAGAGTGCAGTGGCATGATCATGGCTACTGCAGCCTCAACCTGCTGGGCTCAGGTGACTCTTCCACTTCAGCCTCCCAAAGTGTTGGAATTATAGGCATGAACTACCACTCATGGCCTAAAAAAATATACTTCTAATAACCCACTACAGTGGAAGTCATGTATCTTGTCAGATCCTTAAAGAGAAGTGCATAGGCTTCAAAGCTTATATTGATATTATGGAAAAAAAAAAAACACACACAGGCTAAGAAATTAGCTAAGCATCCAATTTAAGATGTTAGTAAAGGAACAATATTAACCCAAAGAAAAGAGAAATTGATAAACAATAGGGGATTAATCAAACCTACCAGACTGATGATCAAGATAACAAAGAAGACGGGTGCAAATAAAGATTAGGAATGATAAAAGGATTGTATGATGGAAGGTTGAGGCGGAAGGATCGCCAGAGCCCAGCAGGTTGAGGCTGCAGTGGCCGGGAGTGGCCACTGCACTCCAGTCTGGGTGACAGAGTGAGACTCCAACTCAAAAAAAAAAAGGATTGTATGACATAACTACACTGGAAAAAATATTCAAGAAAAGATTTCTACAAAAGGATGAAATAAAAGATAATTCTGCTCTTAAACTCCTTCGTGGACTATGAGAAGAGGAAGCACCCACACTCATTTTATGAAGCTAGATAACCTTACTACTACAACAGGACAAAGAAAAATTACGGGCTTGGTGACTAAGCCTATAATCCCAACACTTTTGGAGGCTGAGGTGAGTGGATTGCCTGAGCCTGCGGGTTCAAGACCAGCTCAGGTGACTTGGTGAGACCTCATCTCTACAATAAATTCAAAATCAGCTGGGCATGGTAGCGCATGCCTGTAGTTCTGGCTACCTGGAAGGCTGAGGTGGAAAGATTGCCAGAGCCCAACAGGTCGACACTGGGGTGGCCATGAGCATGCCATTGCACTCCAGCCTGGGTGATGAAGTAAGACTCCAACTCAAAAAAAAAAAAGAAAAATTAAAAAACAATTTCTCATGAACAAATACAAAATTATCTAATAAAATGCTAAATCAAATCCAGCAATGTACTAAAATGATAATATATCATAATTCAGCAGGGTTTATTCTGAAAATGCAAGACTGATTCGACATTAGAAAATTCTAATGATTTCTGATTCTGGCTGTGACAAACCCATTAGTATCAGACAAATTGAACTCTCCCACCAAGAATAAATTTTAAAAACCAAAAATCAATAACAATAAATTTTGCTTTCAAGGCATTAAAAAATTACTGATGCAACCAGATTTGAGGTTAAGTCCCCAACGAGACGGAAACAGTATTCAGGCAAATCTGATATTCCATATAACCTGAAGACATTTCCCAATTTATAAGCAGTACAAGGTTGGGAAACAAAACAGAAAGTAATGGTTGAGAGACTGAGAAGAGAGCAGAGCTTGTGCCAATTTCACAGGGTAAGGAGACACAAACTGAAATTAAGAGCTACCAAGGCTGACACAGCACTTGAAATATCAAGGAAAGTACACTAAGCTGAGCAAAGCTTTCAGAGTTGTAAGGTGTGACAGAGAGAAAAATTGGAGCTCAAAAATCTACATGAAGGGCGGGCTTGGGAAACACCAACCAGCTATCACTGGGACTCCCTAAAGGATGCATACTTGGATTAGTGCAAACTAGAAATAGACTAGCCATCACACAACCCTAGTTCTGAATCAGCTCAGTTCCATTTAAATCGATCTGATCCTACTCTAGTTGTCTGCAAGAAGCAAAAATACATCCTTTCGCAAAAAGTATAGAATCATCTTGAGCCTTCAATTAGCTCTACAGTTTTATGTATTTATTCATTGATTTATTTGAGAGACAGCATCTTGCTCTGTCACCTAGGCTGGAGTGCAGTGGCACGACCATGGCTCACTGCAGCCTTAAACTCCTGGGCTCAAGTGATCCTCCTGCCTCAACCTCACAAGTAGCTAGGACTACAGGCATATCCACCATGCCTGGCTGATTTTTTTATTTTTATAGATGAGGTCTTGCTATGTTGCCCAGATTGGTCTTGAATTCCTGGGCTCAAGCAATTCTC